GGAATCATTTCTTTGTCTACACTTCGGGACCATGAGTTTTGGTTCCTGACATGTGCACTTGAAGTGGCCGGAATGGCCAGCAAGCTCCGAAGTGTGTAGTAACAGCTGAACCAGGCACACCGGACTAAGCCATCTGAACAAGTAATTTCGAGGTGCACCAGATTGGAAAATGGGATATGTTTCCTCGAGGGGGATATAACTGAACCGCAATTAGAAACACATCTCGATTTTCATTCATTCTTGATTTGATGAAATTGGCGTGCGTCTTAACTCTTAAGTAATCACAATAGTAAGAGGAGGAAATCTCTTCGTAGATTTCCTCTAGGATTATCTTCGTTAATCAATGATTACTATCCTTAAAAATACACATAGACTCATTAAGGTTCTCTCTAAAGCTATCGCATATAATCGCTCTTAAGCATGCTGCCAGAATTCTAGTACTAACTTACCAACTTGATTGTTAGAGAGTCTTTAAGCTACCACATCGGTGCCTAGATTTTTTATGCTTAATCGTATACGAAGTGTGAAAATTTGGTTCTAGCACACATTAATCACAGTTATACATGTGCGTGAAATTGGCAAGGAGAAATACTTCTTTTCAAGTCTTCAGACGATTGGAATGTGGTGTCTAAAAGACACTATAATGGATTCGTTGTCTAATAAGGACTCTATGTGTACCCGTTAGATCATTTCACTTACCTAACAACTCAAACTATGGTGTACTACGTATTTGAATTACTTGTCTAATACGACCATACATCTTCATGACCTTATAGTTTTGGTTGTATATACTGGATCGGTTTAAAAATTGGATAAATATGATCATGCGCATCATTAAATATTAAATCCATTAGAAGATTGACAAAATAATCATATAATTTACTAGTTTTTGCATCTAAAAGTTTCATTATTTTCTTATCCTCTTAATGTCATATATGGAGAGAGACAGAAAGAGAGTAGTCTTAACCACCAAACTTTACACGCATCGATGCGACAAAGGAATGGTCATTGTCGACGACAATGAGGTATTTCATATGATTTCTTCTCTCACTCTCCAAAATAAAGATGACCAATGAACTAGCCTAGATCCATTTTCATACACATGTCGATTTTATTCTTTTGGACCATGAATTTTTTCCAAATTCATTTTCATAAATATTTCAGTACAACATCTGTTGCTGTTGCATACATGTGTAACTATTGCTATATAGGAACATTGTAATAATGAAGTTCACCTGAAAGGAAAGTGATGCATGCACAAACTAAGTGGTTTCTCCTTCACATTCTAATGTAAAAATTGCTACTCTTATCACATTTTTCATACTATACTTGTACAATATCTTTAATAAAGATGAAACTCATATGTATTGGTGGGCTCTACCTCTATTACAAAGATGGTACAAATGTGATATGAAAAATGTGATAAGTGTAGGATTACTCTTCTAATATATGATGCAACTTAAAAAAGGGGGATAAATTACATTTTACCATCTTAAATTGGGTCGCATAACAAAATCATACCTCATCTTTTAAACGTTGCAATGTCATATATTAACTTATGAATTCGTTGTAATGTGAGCCTTTCTGTACTCAATTTGTTAATTTGTCCATTAAATTATGACGCATTAGCTATGGGTCTCACATTTTTACTGATGAGATGTCAAATTTGTACTATGTGGACAAACAACCAATTAAAATTATATGAAGATGCAATTAAAATTTGTTATGTTTTGGTACAAAAACATTATTTTTACTATTATAAATCAATTTAATTTTTACATTGTGCCTCTATCAAGATTTAAGGATGGGCAAAATACTTGTGGGTATGGGTAACCACGGTTATTCGTCCAATTATACTTAACGGGTACGGTTATGTGTAATTATTTAAATAAATAAACGGTTATGAGTATAAATTTTTGTCCATGAAATATATATGGGTGAACACAGATACTACGTGCAAGTACAAAAGGGTACCCATTTAACAATTTGTATTATCTGTAAAATTTATAAAAACAAAATTGAAAACCCTAAGAACTGTTTGACGAGTGGACAACTGAGACCCTTCCCAATATAATGAGTTAATTTCGCTCATGATTTCTATTGATTTCTTTGTTTTAACATTTTAGTTCATTTAAATCATATAAATATTTAATTTCCCAGTATCATGAGATCATATGACTTCTTATTTCATTGGTCCATCATGAGTTAAATTTTTTTTCAATAATTACCTTTTTTCTGCTATTAGTTCCAAGCCATGAGTGAGCTGCAGAATAACTAAGCTTAGTGAGAGGTTAATAGGGAGGAGAGTTCGGAGCCCTTGGGATGGCGAGTTTTAGGGTTTTGAAACGCCACAAAGAGTAGTTGAGGGGTCTTAATTCGTTCGAGAGGAGAGATTTTTTGGTGTGACCGGCACACGAGTTGATACACCACGTGTCACTATACAAATGGTGAGATATGTGTGTTAAAATGTTAATAACTTAAAAAATAAAATTTCCTACCATCTACATAAAAACACGTAATATATCACTTGTGTTTCCGTCATAATAAAAAATTTCTCCTCTGAGAGGTCTGCTATTGCGGCACGAAGAAATTTCGCTCGGTTTAAATAACGCCTACTTTTTAGGGCTTTTTTACTTGTTAATAAACTTCGCGAAATATATTTATTTAAATTGTCTAAAAGAACTAGGAAGTTACGACGAATAAAAATATTCCTAGACTGTTGTGGCCTTTAACTTAAATCTGTAGAGAAATTTAAATCGCATCCACTATAAGGAAAGGAAAAACAAATATCTCTCTCCCCTAGTGCAACTAAAAATATTATCTGTATACTATTATTTCAATTTCTGTAGTGGTATGAGGATTTAAAGGATTTGAATACAGAAATACGTTTTAATGTACCTATTGTGAGAATGTGAAGGTAAAAGAGTTCTACACTGGTGAAAAGAGAAACCTTACAAGCGCTTACAAGAGGTTGGGTTACTCCCCATGTTGCCAATTGGTTTTATGGTGGAACTCGAACTTTTTTCATGATACTAGAGCAGATTGGCCCACGTGTGAAACCCAACCCATGTCACCCAATTCATGTTGTCCACGTACGTGTTTGGCTTGAAAATTCGACACATGTGAAAGGAAAAACTTTGCAAGCGCTTATAAGAGGTTGGGCTACTCCCCTTGCTGCCAATTGGTTTTATGGTGGAGCTCCAATTTTTTTCACCTATAATAGCATTCAATTATCAAAGAAAAAGAAAATTATGACACTTTTTTTCACTTTCAATGTGCTAAAGAAACAGGGTAAACGGCAAAAAAAATTGGGTAAATGGGTAAATGGTCAAACGGGTATGCTATTATAGTTAAATGGGGATGTGGATATAAGTACGATTAACCAATTATAAACACTTATGGGTATGAGGATACCCGTTTATGCAATTACCTAACAAGTAAAGGGTTATGTGGGTAAGAACTTAAATTGTTATGGGTAAATAACCGTCATTACCCCTCCTTCTTTGTCCATCCCTAATCAAGATATGCATCAAGAAGTATACACACAAAAAAAAGAAGGAAAAAAGGCCTATTGTTAGTCATTAGATCCTATTTATTTCATTGTTAAGTGACTAGTTCTAGCTCGAAAATCCAATGTATTTGACCTTCGAAACTCTAAGATACAATCCAATTCTTATCACCTTTTTCCTCAAAGTTTCTTGTTTCGGATGACACGTTATTGATTATGTTTCGGATAAGAATTCCAACTATTGCAGTGCAATAACATCCTCCACCTTATGCCAAACACAAAGTCGATTGATCAACGATGTGTGTAAGTGACAACCTACGTTATATTTTGAAGCTTACCAATTATCCACTTTGTGTCTTTAGACCATCTCCAATCTTTGGGTTAAAACTTAAAATTTTTAACCCACAAAATTTAGGTTTTAACCCAGAAACAATTTTTCTCTTCCAACCCTTTTGGGTTAAATTTTTAGCTTGAGATTATTAAAGAATGAAATTAGGATGATTTTGTTCTTAAAATAACTTTTTTAATATAATATGTAGATTATTCTAATTTAATTTTATGAACATTTTAACCTAAAAATATTTAGATTTCGATAGATAATGAAAAATCACTAAACTGACATTATAAAACTCGTGAAACGCTATGAAAGAATACGAAACGCATAAATTTTTTTTTTAAATTACTTTAGCCGTTGGATTTAAATTTGAACCGTTAGAATTTTTTTTTTTTTTTTTAATGTTGGATTTGATCATATTTGATTTTAGTCATTGGATTCAATGAATTTATAAATATAAAACTAAAAAATGTGCACATATATAGTGGCTCAGCCTTATTAACCCGAGGGGGAATCCTATGCTAAATTTGCCTCATAAATGAGTTTTCGGTTAAAACTCATATTTGCCCCAAGGGTTGGAGCAAGTTGGGTTAAATTTAGAATCTAAAATTTAAGTTTTACTCAAAGTTGGAATAGGTCTTATAGTCTGAAATAAATTTTCTCTGCATATTTGAGTATTTAGACAATAAATATTTGACTTTTTGCATGCAAAAAGTTTTTTTTTTTTAACCAAAATATCTAAATAATACAATACTTTTCTGAAACTATTAGTAAAATGAAACGTACTTTTTACTAAAAACAATTGCGCCAAAACGCCACTACTGTTCAGAAAGGAATGATTCATATCAACCAAAAAAAAAAAAAAAAAACTGCTCTGATAAAATGATTTGTTCATGATATGCGTGATATGATCATATGATATATGGTGGCGCGTGATCAATTGGTAAAAAGTACTGATGAACTTTGAACCAAAAGATTAGTAACTGCTTGCGATCCCCATCCCTCATTCAATGACAAAATCTCAACTTCCGCATACAAACAATCCCCTGGCCGGCTAACTTCACATGCCACCAAAACGCAACTCACACACTAAAACCACACCACACACGCTGTCTCTCTCTCTCCTCTCTCCCTTTTATATGATATATCAGCTAGCCTTCTATCTGTCTGACCTGATCAAGAAAAATCAGCAAAAAGGCCATATGAAAAGGGGTTAGACCCTTTTGTAGCGTGAAAAGGTTTGTCGAATCAGAACTGCTTCTATCGCCTTATTGCTCTACCTGCCTTTTTTCTGATTTATATCTATCCATCCACCTCTTTTCTGATTGTACAGCAGAAGAAAAAAGCCTGAGTACTGTTAGGTTCAGTCTCTTTTCCCCCAATTTGGACTTCCAATTACACTTTTTTTCCGTTTCATTTTTGGGGATGCGAGTTCACTCCTCCTGATCAGTCTCTTTTCCTCCCCCCATGTCAAGAACCATAAATTATATATATAATTATTAATTTTCCCTCCCTTCAGAAAAAAAGGAAAGAAAAGAAAGCTGAACTCTCTATTTTGTTGCCATTCATAATATTTGCAGAACAATTCTCCCAACCCTACTAAAAATTTTAAGTTTCCCCATGCTAAATCTACCCACTACCAGTCTGGTCTCTTTCCTTCTGAACTCCTCTCAGTAATTCCATCTTTTCTTTTAAAGCAACAAAATTTTCTACCGTTTTTTTTTCTATATTGTCTTCCCTTCTCTTTTCTCTCCCAATGATGCAATTTACTGAGACACCACCACCAACGTCCTTGCACCAAATTATCCCCGCACCCTATTCCAATAACCTCCAAATGATGAACAAAAACCAAACCCACCGTACGCGCCCGTGGCCCGGCTTCCCGACCCCAAAGTCCCTCGGAACAAACTTCGGCGACGCTAACTGCATGGAGCAGCTGCTTGTCCACTGTGCCAACGCCATCGAAACCAACGATGCCACCCTCACGCAGCAGATCCTCTGGGTCCTCAACAATATCGCCCCACAAGACGGCGATTCCAACCAGCGCCTCGCCTGCGCTTTTCTCCGTGCCCTCATAGCTCGTGCAGCCCGAATCGGAAGCTGCAAGGTCCTCGCAGCCATGGCCAACTCCCAAGCCAACTTCACAATACACACTCACAAGTTCTCCGTCATTGAGCTCGCCTCCTTCATCGACTTGACCCCGTGGCACAGGTTTGGATTCACTGCCGCAAATGCAGCAATTCTAGAAGCTGTTGAAGGGTATTCTGTGGTTCACATTGTTGACCTGAGCTTGACGCATTGCATGCAAATCCCAACTCTCGTCGACGCCATTGCCAGCCGTCAGGACGGTAATGTGAGTCCTCCGTTGCTGAAGCTCACTGTGGCAGGTTCCACGGAGGACATCCCTCCAATGCTGGACCTCTCGTACGAGGAACTAGGTTTCAAGTTGGTTAATTTCGCCAGGTCCAGAAATATAATTTTAGAGTTTAGGGTCATCCCGTCAAGTTACACCGACGGGTTTGCCAACCTAATTCAACAACTCCGCGTGCAAAATTTAGTATATGCGGAGAGTGGTGAGGCGCTTGTCGTGAACTGTCACATGATGCTTCACTACATTCCTGAAGAGACATCAACACTTCCGTTAATCAATCCGAATCCAAGCAGTAGTCGTTCGACCAGCTCTTATGCTTTCGATGTAGCATTGTCCTCTTCCAGTACTACTCCATCGCTAAGGACAATGTTTCTGAAAGCGCTTCGGGGTTTGGACCCAACGATTGTGGTTTTAGTAGACGAAGATGCGGATTTGACATCGAATAATCTAGTGTGTAGATTGAGGTCAGCCTTCAACTACCTGTGGATACCTTACGACACCGTGGACACGTTTTTTCCCCGGGGAAGCAAGCAGAGGCAGTGGTATGAGGCGGATGTGTGTTGGAAGATTGAGAACGTGATAGCCTACGAAGGGTTACAGAGGGTGGAGAGGCTGGAGCCGAAATGCAGGTGGGTGCAGCGGATGCGAAACGCCAACTTTCGAAGCGTTTTGTTCGGGGAAGATGCGGTTTCGGAAGTGAAGGCCATGCTTGATGAACATGCAGCCGGTTGGGGATTGAAGAGAGAAGAAGAAGATGTTGTACTTACATGGAAAGGGCACAATGTTGTGTTTGCCACCGCTTGGATACCTGCTTGAAATTCACATGTTGAAATTTCTCAAGAAAATGATCTGACCAGTTAATTAATATAGAATCTCTCTTTTGTTTCTTCTTCTTTTTTGGTCTGTTATTTGATCTCTTTGGCTAGTAGCTAGCTTATAAATTAGTTAATGGTCATGTTTTACAACTAATTTTTACTTAGTAGTTGAGACCTTAAATTTTAATTAACGTGGGGTTTGTGTCATATTTGGAATAATTTTGAACCATGCATTTGTGGTTATAATCTTCTGTGGTCTGCAGTAACCTACAGATTAATCTTCCTCTTCTTTTTCTGCAAAGTACATTATGTTAAATTTTTCATTTCACTTTTTTGTGGTTTTAAATTTCTTGCTAGTATGAATATTACAGAAACTTTGAAATGAATGTACCCATTGCCCAAGAAATCTCTACGCAAAAGTAGTTAATGGGTGATTCAAGAAACCTTTGGTTTATAATCGTCTATTAAAAAATAAATAAAATATAAGACTATTTAGTTATAGAACTGTATAAAAACAGTCATAACCATAAAAGTATTATGAATCTATCTATTTGCTACATTAACTGGATGAACGTACTTTTAAGAATCGCGACAAACTATTTTAAGAGGAGTTCCTCTACAATTTTGTGAAGCCAAGTATTTGTCTTTTGTGTTTTGGACATGGAGCAATCAGGCAAACTATCTTATTAGGGTTCATTTGACAACCATTTCATATTTAATTTTCAGTTTTTGGTTTTGGTTTTCACTCTTCACTTTTTTTTTTAAAACTGAAAAGTGAAATCCTGTTTAGTAACTATTTTTAGTTTTTTTTTTTTTTAAAATGAAAACTTAAGGCCAAATTTGAAAATTGGAGGCCTTGGGTTTGAAACCCGTTGCTAGTGTGGAAGTCAGACTTGTGGCCAGGAGAAGGCTGAAATGGCTTTGTGAATCTTCCTAGCCCCTAGAAGGGGTGGATAACCGTGGCTTACCACAAGTTGTCATTTTTTCTTTTTTTTTTAAAAAGGCTAAATTTGAAAACCCAAGAAAGTTTCAGTTTTTGGTTTTTAGTTTTCATTTTTTAAAAAAATTGAAAACTAAAAGTGTAATAATCCGTCCCTAATTTTATGATTTTTATAATTTTAAAGGTGTGAATTGACCAAAATGCCCATAGAGGCTAGGATATTGACTTTCGTTGACCAATGTATAGCGAGACATACGAAACATTCTTTTAGCGCATCCTTGTAGTACTCAATGTTACGAAGCGTGGCTGCAAGCGGAATTGAAATTGGAGTTTCGATGAAGATTTTACGGAATTACGAAACTTGAGGGTATTTTAGTAAATTGGTATATCAGATTTTCTCTCCTAATAACTTACAATTTAAAATCTGTATACGTGCTTGTCTGACTAGTTAGCAACACTCAACAACTAAGATCATATATGTTAGTTTACTCACAGCGCAAGTAGTCAATTCAAGGCTCAGTTTACTCAAGTGTTCCTAGTTACTAAGATCCAGTTCAGTGCATATTTTAACTCTGACAATCTTAGTTGCATGAAATTATCTATTTGCAATAATGATGAACACATATCACAAGCAAATAGTAAGATAAGTAAACTTAAAAAGTGATAAATTGCACAAGATGTTTTTGGCCGGAAAAAACCACCTCTGGGTTAAAAAATTGGGAACTCTCCACTGAGTCTAATCTACTAGTGTAAACAAGATTCATACGAAGACCACACAAGCTCAATTCCTAGATCCCTATCTACCAAGCAGTTTTTGTTGGAAATGTGCCCTAAAACCAATCATATGATGATACTTTACGGACATTTCAAACTAATGTAGTTTAAATGTAAAGGGCAAAGATTATTGTTTGAGCCGTCTCATATAAATGTTATATGCTTAAACGATAAGTCCAAGGAATATGTGATTGGAAGAATGCGATCTAAAGAAGTTAGATTCATGAGACCATTCTTTCGTTGACACATCCTAAACGTTCCTGATCATAGGATTGTCAATTGGGCATTGACAGTCCGTTAAGATCAGTACGTGCTATGTCTTCTCTCAGGGAGAGTGACTAGTCTCGAGTCATTGGTGTGTGTGACATCAAGACAAGTACGTAGGTGCTCAATAGAGAATAAGTTCACTGAACACGATCAACGAAGAGTTCTCATATTCATGTCACATGAGAACTCATGGTTGGGATAATGCAAATTAGTCTTTTGACCTGAGGCATCACAGTCGTCTTGTGGTTAGGTCCTTAATCTTTGATTATGTCAAAGTCACTCCATCAGGAGGGTGTCCAAGGCATCGTTGGGGTTAAGCCACTTAGCCATGGAGGCAAGTGAATGCGCAACAAGGGATCTCTAACCTTCAAACTGTTTGAGGGAGAATACTCTATGATATGATTTAGAATCTCTGGCCAGAGTATGAATGAGATGTTGGAATGCGTTCCAGATCACATTCAAGGTAATCATATAAGTACAAGATTCACATTGGATAGTTGACATGAATAAACTATCAAACCAAACAATGTGGTCAAGAATATTGTATTAGAGAAAGACCGTATTGCATTTGTAATCCTAAAACTGAATAGGTTCTCCACCTCTTCTGATTAGCTTGGGTAACCATGACATGCTGCTAGGCGTCAACCATGGTTTGTGGAAGCCCTAAAAGTGTATTATCACTAACGGGAGAATTGAAAGTAAGTTTCAATTCACAATCGATTTGAAAGAGTTTGAATCGCCCACTGCCTCGCTAAAAGGAACCTAATGGATCGTACACCGTGTAAGGTAGAGATTGAAGATTGAACGGAGATGAGTAAGAATAATTAAATGGTTTAATTATTTATGGCAAGGATTAATTAATATGATTATTAATCAAACGAATAAGTTCGTTAAAAGACCTCGGGATAGTTTTGGACCTTAAGGCCCAATGGGCTTCGAACATCAGGTCCATTGACTTAAGTTGTATGACAACTTAATGAATAATGATTCACAAAGGCCCAAATAGCCCAATAAATCCCTAAGGCCGGCCATGTTAGAGAAATAGTGGGTTTTGACTTATTTACAAGTTTGCCACTCAAATGAATTAAGGTATAAGTGTGACTTAATAGCCAAAATTCATTAAGGGTTGTTTTTGGGGAAATTGGAGAAACACAAACTCTCATTTCTCTCTAGAAATGGCCGGCCACCTTGAGGATAACATCTAGCAATCTTACTTCCTCAAGGTCACTCATTTTCTTCTACAATATACCTTGGTGTGGAGACTTAGAGGTTCTCAATTTCGGGAACTTGGAGAAACCTTTTCATCCATCCAAATCCATGGATCTAAGATGCAAGGAATGAAGGCCCTCTCTTTGGGTGATTAGCCTTTGCTTATGCAAAGAGGAATCTACAAAGGTATTGATTTCTCAACTCACTTTGTTTTGAGTTGAGTCTTGGTTCACCTATCTACTAGGCTTTGAATTTCATGGGTAAATGTTTTGTTTTAAGTGCATACAAGCATGATTCCGCCTTTAATTGTTAATTGCATGCTATTGATGTTGCTTAAATGAACATGTTTTTAACAAATCTTCCTTCAAGTGGTATCAAGAGCCTAAGTCTAGTATTTGGTGAATCCTTTTGGGTTTTGTAGTTCATAGTTTGTGATTTGAATGTTGTAATTGTTACAAGCTTTATTCTTGCTTCTTTGAATGTAAATTTTGTTAGAAAATTTGCCATCTCAAATGTTGTAGATGTAGTTCATATGAGCATGAATTTTGGAGCTAAAATTTGGTGCCATGTTTTTGGGGAAATTCGGCCAAATCCAAAGGGTGGAATTTTGGGTTCTTGTTTGACTTGTTAAAAGTGTTTTAAAGTGACTCTTGGAACCCCTATGTACCCTAGTATGGTTGTATGTTATTTCCCTTAAGTTTGAGTGGTTTTGGTATGTTTTTGGGTGAAGAATGTTCATGGAGCTCTTATGGGTTTTCATGAATGTTCTTCATTGTTCTTGATATGTTCTTGCCAAGAACAAAAGGTTTGGTGTTTTGATTCAAAGTTTTGATTTATTTCATAAAGTTTTTGTTTTGAAATATTTCTTATGTTTAAATATATTAGATATTTATTTTGAAAAATTAAAGAAATTTTAGTGGGTTTGGTGTGTAATGATTTATTCCATTACACACACACTTACAAAACTTTGAAATTTTTTTATAAACTTTGCTTCAATGGCCGGCCACCCTACTCAATTAGGGTCCTTGTGGGGCTTTTATGCAATTATATAAAGTTTTGATACTTTTGTGTATTTGCATTTTGACCCAAAAGTTTACGGTTTTACGTAAAGGTCCAAAATCACTAAAAGGACAAATTGTTTTGCTCCTTTAATGAAGTTTTATTTTTTTGTGGAAATTTTGGGTTCTAGTTGTAATTACATGAAGTAGTGGACTTTTGTGTTTTTACAAAGTGACCCCAAAAGTTTAAGTTTTTGCAAAATAGCCCAAAAGTTGAGGTTAATTGCACTATGGCCCAAACAAGTTGAGGTCATAGCATTTTGGCCCAAATTAGGTAGAGAACAAAATTGTTTTGTCTCTTTAAATGAGAATTGGATTTTCATTTCATTTAGCTCCATTTAAATCAATTCTATGGATACAAAAACCAAATGAAAATGTTGCATTCAAGTTTAATTAGTTAAAGCGTTAATTAATTAAAGAAAGGGTGATTATGAACCTTAGCCTACGATAATTGAGCTATGTGAAAGGCCGTTTCAAATTTGTTTGAACCATGGGAATGTGTAGATTAAATTTTGGTTGTAATTTGATATGATCAATTGTTGTAAAAGAGCATAAGCTCTTCTTTACTTTAAAGTAATTTGATTTGATCAATTGTTGTAAAAGAGCATAAGCTCTTATTTACTTTGAAGTACTCCTTTCTTGTTTTATTCGATATGCATGAAATTGGAGCAGTTGGGTCCAACGCCCAATAAGACAACACGCCTTAATGTGATTAAATGCGTAACTAAAATCAATCTCCATCCCTAGACCGAGATTCAACACTAGGCTTGTGTTTGAATTGAATCAAAGGTTCATAGTCATCCTAAGGCCCTAAGGCAACTATATAGTCCATCAATGAATGCAAACCTTATGTTAGTAGTATCATATACTCTTGCTTTAAAAACCGTTTTAAAAGCTTAGTGGGAGTATTATATACAACTAAATCAATCAAATGGACCAATAGTTGTAATA